CCCCCCCCATTTCCAGCCCCCCGGCGTCGGGGAGTCACCAGACCTCCCGATATTCGGGGCTTTCTCTTATACACGTAGCTGTAAACCCCACCCCCCGATTCCTGATTGTTCGCCCTCTCCCAGCGCTGGAGCGACCCTCCCCCCGGTTCTCAGCCCCCCGAGATCGCCAGCAGAAAGCCCCCGCGGGGGGGGGCTCGGGGGCGGGGCCACATGCTTCCCAGGAAGTGAAATGGGGGGGGGAATTACGGGAGGGAACGGGAAAGCCACGGTCGGGGCTCAGTCCCGCCCCACAGGCCGAGTTGCGGGGGACGGGGCTATAAGGAAGGTCGTTGCCAGGTAGTGGGTGGGGCCAGCGCTAGGGGGAGGGGGTTATGGCAAAAGGGACGGCGCGGGGCCCGACTCAACTGACATGGGAAACAGCCAGCGAGGCGCACTGCGCCTGGAGGGCGAAGTGGAACAGCCAATGGGAGCGGGGCTTGGTGGGGACTCACATGGGCAGGGCGAGTTGGGTGCCCGCCAACGGCGGGGGCCGGCGGGGTCGCGGGAGGGGGTAGTTGCTGTGCCCAGCCAATCAGGAGGCGTGAAAGTGCTGACGCGCTTGGCCAATCAGAGGATGCCATCTTTATCATATGGGACTGATTGCGGGGACCAGCCAGTAAGAGAAGGCTCCAGGGTCACGTGGAGGAAGGCGCCGTTGGTCGAGCCATTGAGGGAGTCCAGTTCGGGTCACATGAGGAGGGCGACTAATCCAGCCAATAGGCGGGGAGTACTGATGTCACGTGTTGGGAATTGCCCGCCGCCAGTCAATGAGAGGATGGTATGGGCTCACGTGACGCCAGCGTCACATGACGGCTACCCAGTCGACTCTTGGCCAATAGGAGGCCGCCCTCCTCACGTGACCCAGGACGTCACTGCGGGGAGCCGGGGACGGGCTCTACGGCAGCCGGGAAGCGGCGATGTCGGGGGATGGCGAACGCTCCCCGTTGCTGCCCGCGGAGCTTGGCGAGCCGGGCGCTCCCGGGGCCCTGGCCGGGCCTGGCGGGCTTGTCCCTTCCGCGCCGCTCCCACCCTACGGGGGCCCCGCGGCAGGGAAGCCGGCCCCGCCCCATGGTGAGCGGCCCCGCCCCACGGCCCCGCAGGGGCGCGGCTAATGGGCGTGTGAGGAGGGGGTGTGTGGGCGGGGCTGTGGGGGCTATAGGTTCTGGGGAGGGGTTAGAGGTCTCGGTGGGCGGGGCTGGGGTCTTCGTGGGTGGGGCTGTGGAAGGCTGCAGATGCCAGGGCGGGGCTAGTGGGCTCGGTGGGCGGAGCTAAGGGAACTGGGAGGAGCTATGTGGTTTGTTGAGTTGAGCTAATGGCTGGAGGGTGGGACTGGGACTGGGGAAGGAGCTTGGGGAGGTGGCCGTGGCTAAGGGGCCTAGGGCAGGCTGGCTTGCGGGTGGCTGTAGCCTGTGGTTCCCTCGCCCAGGCTTCCCACCGTTCCCAGAAGGGCATCCAGCTGTGCTGCCCGGCGAGGACCCCCCGCCCTACTCACCCATGGCCAGCCCCGACAGCGGCAGCGCCCCCATGATCACCTGCCGTGTCTGCCAGAGCCTGATCAATGTGGAGGGCAAGATGCACCAGCACGTGGTCAAGTGCAGCGTCTGCAACGAGGCCACGGTGAGCCGGGAGCCCTGTGGGGGCTGGGCCAGGCTGGGGTGATCTCGCAGGTGTCCTGTGGGGGGGCTGGATCCCCATTAACCTCCTCGTGAGGTCCCACTACCCTCTTCCCATGCTGTATGCCTGTCTCTGTCTTTCCAGCAAGCCTAGCTGGTGCCCCTGAGGGGGCCACCAGGAATGGGAGGGATTTGGGGGTTGTCTGTCGGCCCCTGGCAGGTGGCGTCGGAAGAAGGTTATTCTGTAGAGCTGGAATGACAATTCTCAGCTCTGAAGACCCCCTTAGGATCTGGCTGGAGCTGGGAGACCCCAAGGCTGGGACCAGAGGAAGTGGAGCAAAAGGTCTGAGCTTACTGTGCTCCCTCCAGAGCCAGGGATAGAATCCAGGAGTCCTGGCCTCCAGCACCCCCCAGGCTTAGGTCTCCTCTCTGTCTCTGCTGCAGCCAATCAAGAACGCCCCCCCGGGGAAGAAGTATGTGAGATGTCCCTGCAACTGCCTGCTGATCTGCAAGGTGACGTCCCAGCGAATCGCCTGCCCCCGGCCCTACTGGTGAGCCACGGGGGGGTTCCCCTACCGTGCTGGGCGGGGGGGGGGTGGCACCGAGGGCACATTGGGCCTGGGTGACACTTCCCTGGGTTCCTGAGTGGGAGGAAACCTTGTCTGTGCCCGAACAGCCTTCGCTTCAGGAACACAACTTCCAGTGTAGACACAACGCCCTCGCTCTCAGCCATGCAAATGTCTCATGTGGTGAATTAGTGTGCAGCTATTGGACCCCGGGGATCCCTGTAACCTCCTGGGCACCACCTGTGCCCCCTGCCAGAGGGCACCAGTGGTCCCTGGGTTACAGCCTGGCTTGGTACCTAGGACAGGGCAGGGCTCCGTCTCATCTGTGTTGCTTTCTCTCCCCTGCTGCAGCAAAAGAATCATTAACCTGGGCCCGGTGCACCCAGGGCCCCTGAGCCCTGAGCCCCAGCCTGTGGGAGTGCGGGTCATCTGTGGGCACTGCAAGAATACTTTCCTGGTAAGCAGGGGCAGCCAGGACTCCTGGGTTCTGTCCCTGGCTCTGGGAGAGGTGCGGGGTGTAGTGGGGTTCAGCAGGGGTGCTGGGAATCAGGACTCCTGCGTTCTGCCTGTGGGAAGGGAGTGGTGTCTAGTGAGTAGAGATGGGGTGGCTGGGAGCTAGGACTCCTGGGTTCTATTCCAGCTCTGGGAGGGAAATGGGGTATAGTGGGTAGGGCAGGAGGCTGGGAGCCAGGACTCCTGGGTTCTGGCTGTGGGAGGGACGTGGGGTCTAGTGGGTAGAGCAGGAGGCTGGGAGCCAGGACTCCTGGGTTTGGCTGTGGCTCTAGCAGGGGAGTGGGGTGTAGTGGGTAGAGCAGGAGGCTGGGCATCCCATGTGTGTTTCTCTCTGGTTCTTATTCTCCCAGTGGACAGAGTTCACAGACCGCACCTTAGCCCGCTGCCCGCACTGCCGCAAAGTGTAAGTTTCTTGCCCCTCCCCACGGTGAGACCCATTGCCCCAGGCCACAGCTACAGGCCAGAGAGAGGCCTGGTCCTGAGGGTGGGGCTGGGCCCATATGGGCTTGGGAGGCCGAGGAGTGGAAGGGGCTGTGAAAGCAAGGCCCAAGTGTGGGGTCTAAGGGCATGGGGAGTGGTTGAGCTCGGAGGCAGGACTCCTGGATTCTCTTCCCGGCTCTGGGGGAGGAATGGGGCCAGGGGCCAGGACTCCTGGGTTCTCTCCCTGGCTCTGGGAGAGGAGTGGGGTCTAATGTAGCAGGGGGCCAGGACTCCTGAGTGTCCATGTCTGACTCTGACTCTCTCCCCCCAGCTCCTCCATCGGGCGCAGGTACCCCCGGAAGAGATGCATCTGCTGCCTCCTCCTGGGTGTCTTAGTGGCTGTAGCTGCCACAGGCCTAGCGGTGAGTGTGTGACCGGGGCAGGGGAGCGGGCCATGCTGATGGAGCCTTAGGACTGCCCAGGGTGTCTGAGTCTCTGTGCTGCCCTGGGAGAAAGGGGACATTGAGTGGGGAAGGGCCTGTTGGACATAGAACCCAGGAGTCCTGATTCCAAACCCCTCCCTCCCGCAACCATTAGACCCTCCCCTCCCCAAGCAGAGCCGAGCTGGAACCCTGACCCTGCTGTCTCTCTCTGCGCAGTTCGGCACGTGGAAGCATGCCCGGCGGTATGGTGGGATCTACGCCTCCTGGGCGCTGGTCATTCTCCTGGCTGTTCTGTGCCTAGGCCGGGCCATGTACTGGGCCTGCATGCGAGTCAGCCACCCCGTCCAGAACTTCTCCTGAGCCACCCTTGCCGCAGGGAGCCCCGCCCATCTCAGCCAGCTTCTGCCCAGCCCCCGGTCCGCTCCTGTGCCTCTCGCCTTGGTTCTGCTCCCCTCCCATCCCGCCGGAGCCTGAGCAGGAGACCCCCATGGGACGTGACCAATGGAGGCGGCTGCGGTGGTCTCAAGGGCAAGGGGCCCACCAGCCCAAGAGGGTAGCTGAACTATGGTAGCTCTGTCTGGACCAACCCGAGAGGGAGCTGGATTACAGTGGCTCGGCTGGGACCCACCACACAGGAGATGGGGAACCCACCCAGCCAAGGGACACTGGGTGACGGAGATAGGACCCGACCTCCCCCTTCCCCCCAGCCAAGGGACACTGGGCGACAGAGGTGGGACCCCCTTCCCCCCACCCCCCAAAGGACACTGGACGATGGAGCTGGGACCCACCAACCCGAAGACCCCACACACCCAAGGGACACTGGACAATGGAACTGGGACCCACCGCCCCAGAAACCCCACACACCCAAGGGACACTGGACGATGGAGCTGGGACCCACCACCCCAGAAACCCCACACACCCAAGGGACACTGGACGATGGAGACGGGACTCATCACCCTTGATACCCTACGCACCCAAGGGACACTGTACTATGGAGCTGGGACCTCCACCTCCTCCTCCTCCCCCCCTGACATCCCTCGCACCCAAGGGACCCTAGCTGATGGAGCGGCGACCCACCATCCAGGATGAGGTGGCCAGAGGGAAGAAGGAAGCCCCCATGGCTGCTAAGTCACTGGGGGTCCCATGTCCCTCCTGATGGGGGCACTGCCATGCGCAGCACCCCCTTGGCCTGCAGGGAAGTGGGGCAGGAGGGGGCCCCACAGCGGGGAGGCATTAAATACATTCTGGGGGGGGATGGGACCCGCTGGGGAGGGGAGCTGACACCGGGGGAGAGGGGGATAAGAAGGATTCAGCTCACTGCTGCTTCATGGTGGGGTCATCTCTTAGGCCACCGTTCACCCCACTGATCTGTGCTCTGTCAGCCATGCCCCTCCTCCCCACAAGCCAGACAGTCCTCTGCCCTGGGGCCACATTGGAGCTGGCGCCCTCTAGAGGGAACAGACCCCATGTCCCATTCCCTGCCCCCCTGAGCCAGCTAGTGTCCGCGCTGGGGCCGGATGGGAGCCAGCGCCGCCTAGAAGGGAAAGGCCTGTGCCCCTGCTCTGTTTAGGGCACTTTTATTTGGGTGGGGTAGCTGGTGGGGAGCAGCCCCTGCCCTGATCCTCCCCCCGGCAGGGGCAGCTGGGGACACTGTCTCTGATGCCCAGGGGAAAGCTGCTCTGGGTTTGCTCTTCCCTCCCCCCCCACCCCATGGCTGCTCTGGTTCTTTGCACATTCCTGGTGGGGGGGAGCCAATGGGTAATAACCCCCTTGCGTGGGGGCCCTGAGCCTTCCCAGCATGCCTCTGAGCTCCCCCACAGGGCCACTCCTTCCCATCCAGCCCCTGACCTCCCCTTGGGCTGATTGCTGCAGCCTGGGGAGCAGAGCGCTGCCCCCATTGCTGCATGGGGGGTGTGATCCTAACTCAACCCCCTCTCCTGCTCCCAACTCCTCCCCTCTCCACATGCCCCTGCACCGGCTCCCTTGGCTGGGCCCTGCCTCCTCTGGTGTGTGGTTTGAGGATCCCCAGTGGGATGGGGCAGTGGGATGCAGGGGACCAGGGGTGAGTTCCCCAGAGGGCTGGTGATGAGCGGTGCCTGGGGCCGGCCTCTCACTCGGGGAGGGAGAACAGAACGTCTCCGGCCTCAGTTCTTCAGGGATCTTTGGGGGGTGGGACATGGGGTTCACCCCCTTTCCTGGGGCCCCCCGCTGCTCTGGCTTGTACATACTGACCACTCCCCTGTACATAGCTATTTAAATCCAGCCCTGGGCTTTTCCCCCACGCCACCCCGTGCAGCGTTACTTTAACCCCGTGAGTCTGTCCCAGCCCTGAGGGCCGGCCTGACTGATGGATGCCCGGACAGTGTAAATAAAGAGATTCCATACGCCACCCACTCGCCTGGCTCCCTCGCTCTGCCCCACGGTGACCGGGGAGGGGGGGTGTGGGGGGGCTGGGTCTGTGGGTCCTGTTGCCAGGCTGAGAGCCCACCGGCTTGTTATACCACAGGGGCAAAAGAACAGCCACCTGGGGGATGTACTCCTGAGCCAGCCAGCCCGCACCGTGAGGCCTGATCTCAGCTGGTACCCCCTAGAAGGGAAAAGGCCCCATGTCCCATTCCCCACCCCCTGAGCCAGCTGGTCCCCTGCCATGGGGCTTGCGCCCCCTAGGTTGACAGTGGTTGAAGGTGTTTGAGGTATCCAGCTAGGGGGCTGATTGGAGATCAGTGCCCTGAGTGCTGGCACCCCCTAGAGCCTCCTGCTCCTGGCTTGGATGTGGATTTCTGGGAGGGGAGTGGGGTCTAGTAGTTACAGCAGGGAACTGGGAGCCAGGACTCCTGGTTTCTCTCCCAGCTCTGGGGGGTGGGAGAGGCAGGGTGTGTAGCAAGAGTCCTGGGAGAGAAGTGTCCTGTAGGTGGGCTGGTGTCTCCACCTGGCCAGGGCTGGATCCACCCCTTTGCTGGAGATGTGGGGGCCCCCTGAGGGTGTCCCTCTGTAGGACCCCAACTCCTTCTTGGCCCATGTGTGGCAAAACCAGCTGCGTATGGATTAAGGCAACCCCTGTCCATGACTTCCCCAGGAGCTGGAGGGCTCTGCTCACCCCATTTGCTGCACCCCAAACCCCCCCTTCAGGCATGGAGTTGGTGGGGTTCCCCCAGAGCAGTGGGGATGGGATGGAACACCCCATTGAGATGCATGGAACAGTTCTCCCTCTCCCATCAGTGGGCTCAGGCTCTCTGCAGACCCAGGCAGCATCGGTCACACTGAGGGCAGCTCCCCCTTGCCCAGCCATTATTTCTGTAACTGGAAGCTGAGTGTCTGCAGGGATCCCTCTGTTCTAGGCTGTGATGTCCCAGCAGGGACCCCAGTCCATCTCTGCCCCCCACAAAGCCCCCCTTCACTCGCAGCTGCCTCCCGGGGGGACCCCAGCTAGAAAGGCCAAGGAACAGCGTGAGGGTGAATGTCTCCTAGCCCCACCTCACTCCCCCCCGGGCGAGATGAAACACAGCATCTCCTTTCAAAGCCTTTAATCAATGCTCCTCGCAGCTCTGTGGCCCCCCACAAAGAATGGGGGTCTGGTTTCAAGGCGAGGCAGCAGCTTAATTCTACAGGTAAAAAATAGTTCCTGGGGTGAGGAATTCTCTGGAGGCTAGGATGGAGGGCAGCAAGAGGGGAGGCTGGTATATTGGGGGGTTGCTTGGATGGCCCTCAGTGGGTACATGAGTTCAGGGGGCTCTGCTCATAGCTGTGGGGGGGCTCCTGGCCTCTGGGACTGGAGTGTCACTGGGTGAGTTTGGGGGTTCAGGGCTGAGTTTGGGGGATCATGGTCTCTGGGATGGGGAGGGATCTGCTGATATTCTGCGCTTTACTGCACCAGGGCCCACAAGTTGGGGGGTTGAATCAGGTCTCATTTTGGGGGGGAAGTCACCCCTGATCATGGTGTGGGGGGCCCTTTCCCTCTACTCCCCCTGGCCTCACAGGGCCATATAGGGGCACATGGGCTCAATCCTCTCTTGCTCACAAAGCCATAGAGGGGTGTACAGGCCACCCTGCTCACAGGACTACAGAGAGAGGGGGCAGGGCCATATGGATCCCCCCACCTCACACAGGACCATAGAGAGGTGTATGGGCCCACTCCCACAGCTATAGAGGGGGTGTTGAGCCCATACCTAGCTGTATGGCCCCAACCCTCGCTCACAGGGCTATACGGGGGTGTTCGCACCATATCAGGCTGTATGGCCTCCCCCGCGCACAGAGCCATATAGGGCCACAAGGACCATAGCAGGCTGTATGGCCTACACTCCCCCACGCTGCTCACATGGCTACAGGGGTGTCGGCCATATCAGGCTACATGGGCTACCCCGCTCCCAGGGGTGTTGGGACCATATCGGGCTGTATGGCTCCCCCCCCGGCCCCGCTCACAGGGCCATGTAGAGGGTGATGGGGCAGTGGTCACTGCCCATGGCCTGGGAGCGGATCTTGCTGTCGCACAGCTCCCCCAGCAGGCGCGTCGAAACCAGGAAGTAGTCAAGGCGCCAGCCCACGTTCTTGGCGCGAGCATTCATCATGTAGGTCCAGAAGGTGTAGGCATGGGGCGTTTCAGGGTAGAGGTGGCGGAAGGTGTCGGTGAAGCCAGCTGTCAGCAGCTCCCCGAAGCCCTGGCGCTCCTCGGGCGTGAAGCCTGCCGACTTCTTGTTGCCCTTGGGGTTCTTCAGGTCGATCTCGGCGTGGGCCACATTGAGGTCCCCGCACAGCACCAGGGGCTTGCGAGCATCCAGCCCCCTCAGGTAGGCCCGGAAGGCGGCGTCCCAGCGCTGGCGGTACTCCAGCCGCACCAGCCCCCGGCCCGCGTTGGGCACGTAGGCCGTCACCAGGAAGTGCGAGGGGAACTCAGCCGTTATCACCCGGCCCTCCTGGTCGTGCTCCTCCTCACCTGCCGGGAGACACGGGGCGCGCGTCAGAGGGCAAAGGGGAGAGGCCCTGGGCATGGGGGGCATGGGCAGGGATCAAGGGAAAAGGCCATGGGTGTGGGGGGATGCATGGACAAGGGGAAAGGCCAGAGGGCCTGGCTGAGGCTGTAGGGGGCGCAGAGAGGGATCGGCAGGCAGGGCCTGGCAGCAGGCAAAGGGGTCTGCAGGCAGAGGTTGGTAGGGGGCACAGTGGGCAGGGAACACAGGCTCAGCAGGCAGAGGCTGGGGGTCGGGACAGGTCCCTACCGATGCCATAGGTGATGCTGAGCGGCTCAGTCTTGCAGAGCAGAGCCACCCCGCTGTAGCCCTCCTTGGCACCGGCACAGGCCCAGTACTTGTGGGGGTACTCAGGCATCTCCCGCATCTCGGGGGGCAGCAGCTTCTCTGCACACTTGGTCTCCTGCAGGCACAGCACGTCGGGGTCCTCCTCACGCACCCACTGTGTGGGGAGAGCGGGGTCAGCGGGGCTGGGAGCCTGGAGACCTGGGTTCC